AGCTGCTCTTTGCGCTGCACTGCGGTTGAGTAGAAGTACACCTCTACGCCCCAGCGCGCTGGCAGCCTCAGCGTCAGCGCCTTGTTCCAGTCTGCGATGCGCTGTCGGCAAGCGGGCTCTTCGTCGCGAAACGCCTGCGCCAGCCGATAGCGCTCTTCAATGCCGCGCAACAAAAACGCTTTCAGAAGCGCGTCGCGGTGCCAGACCGTCTTCGCATTCTTCGAGCTGCGGTAGAGCGTGACTTCTTGTTCCAGCTCGGTCTCGAGCTGCGCGTCCTCCTCGCTCGCGTTCAGCGAGCTCGGCGGCGGCGCGAACGGCAGCACGTCGTGCGCGAAGTGCTTCTGCAGCGCGAACGCCTCCTTGTCTGTAAAGTATGCGTACCAGCAGCTCGAGTCGAACAAGTTGAAACGCAGGTCGCGCAGACGCAGCGACGCGCTCTTCGCGACGAACGTGTTGTCCGCCGTCACGACGTGCGTCACCAGAATTTGGTCCAACTCTTCTTCCGTCGCGTTGTACAAGCACTTTACTGCCGCTTGCGGCGCGGACTGCGCTGGCTCCGTCTGCTCAAACACTTTGCCCGACAACTGCAGCACGTTCTTATCGTAGCGCTTGCGCAGGCCGAACCAGCTGCGCCGCGCTGTGTAGCTGCAGCTGTAGTCGTTGAAAATGGTCACGTCGCGTATCGCGTGTTCGAGCAGCCATGCACGGCCGTTTTCCACGTCCCACACCATCACGTCGCCGCTCTCATTTGCCGTGGCGCACAGAAAGCTCTCGCTGTCTGAGAGCGTCTCGCAGCGCAGCACGAACGCATAGGGCGCGCGCAGCCGCATCAGTCCGGCGCACACAAACGCGCGGCCCTTCTTTGCCACGGCTTGCGAAAACATCGCTGTGCTTGGCTGCTCAACGACCGAAAGCGAGTATGCGAAACTCTCTGGCGTGGCAGTGCAGAACAGAAAAATGTCGCGCAGCGAGACGAGTCCCGCCGGGATCGCGAGCGGCTGAAACAGTACGCTGTAGTGCAGCTCGCGGCCGTCCTGCGCGCGCAAGTAGGGCAGCTCCGTGCGGCCGAGGCTGTGCTTTTCGAAGGAACTTAAGTAGCGCGCGTTCGCGTTGGACAGCAGACTCTTGAGCGCCTCCTCGCTTCCGCCAGCACTGGGCAGGTCCGTGTCTACGAAAGTCCAGGGCGTGTCTGCGGTCGCGTGCACGTCTAGACACACGATGAAGCTCGAGTGCTTGTCGTAGTTTTGGCGCAACGCCTTCGCGTGTTTCGTCGTAAACACGTCTAGACTCACGGCCGCGAGCGTGTGGTAGTCGCGCACGGTCACTGCGTTCTGTAGCAACTCGTGCTTTCCGCTGCTCTGCACCAAATCTTTCAGCGGCAGCTCGAAATCGCCAAGGTAACTGCGGCTGTCGCTGTCCGCCGCCCAGAGCGAGATGTTCACGAGCGCGTTCGCGTCGACGACCGGCTCGACGTACATGTGAACTTGGAAGTCGAGCAGAACTTTGCCTGCGGCGTGGAACACCTCGCTGGGTTTCCGCTGAGCGCCGCAGGTGACCACGAACAGCGCGTCAAACTCGGTCGCACCGTTCCGGCTGATCAGTTTGTCGATCGAGTGGAAGTGCAGCACGAGCAAGTTATAACGTGCCGCGAGCCGTTTGTCGTAGATGAACGCACTGCGGTGGTACGCGTGGAAGGGCACTTTGGAGAGCGCGAGCTCGTAGCTCAGCGTCAGCCAAGAGTCGCCGTAGCGAAAACGAACGCAGTGCGTCCCGCCGCTCAGCAAGTTGCACGCGTTCTGCAGCCGCACGACGCGCTTCTCGTTGCCTTCAAACAGCGTGACCTCGTAGTGGCTGTTCAGCAAGCTGGTCAGCGTGCAGCGCGCGAAGAACGTCGCGCTCTGCGGCCAACTGCCGCGCTCCGACCACCGCGTCTGCAGCTGAAGCTGCCGCAGCGCGCCAAAGCCGCGCATCTGTACGCGCATCGGTCGTGTCGACAGTGCATAGGCGTACAGCTGACAGTTGCGGCAGCTCACCGCGAACTGGTAGACTTCTTCGAGAAAAAAGGTCAAACTCATGCGGTAGGTAGACAGATACTTGCCGTCGACCACTTTGTACAGCTCATGGTGGTAGCGCGAGCGACCGCGCAAGTAATCGCGCAACAGCATGTCGTGCACGCCCGCGGTAGTGTTGAGTCCTTTGAAGTTCGGGTGGAACGCCTGG